CCCAACCCCCAACACACACAAAAAAAAAACACCCAACCAAACCAAAGATTAGGAATTCCTAAGATCTTTCTGCGCAATGGAATGTTTTAAATTTGCATTTTAAATGTGTTGTCTAAAACCCATTAGGTGGGATCTGAACCTGAATTATTCCGATATCATTTTAAGATCGCCTCAAGTATATCAAAGTTTCGAAGCTGTAATGATGGTTGAGGATAATAATTCTAGTATTCGACGAATAATGTCACGAATTTGAAGGATTTCTAGTTCCTCGCGGCAAATGTTTATCTTTCCTTTTCTTCAGAAATCTTTTATGCAATTATAATGGGTGTATGAGCATCATTAATTGTTATGGTTTATCTTCTGTTTTGCCATGCTCAGCATGCCAATCTATTCTACATCTTTGTTCACAATATATGTCGGTTCTTATGTCTTTAAAAAAAACTAAGTACCAATAAGTAGAATGAAAAGTTTACTAAAAATATATAAATAGAATAATAAGCTGCTACGGAGGAGCAAAAACCTCTGCAAATATCAAACGTATACAGCCCATCCTTAAACCACTCACATGGGACTCCACCCAAGCACATGCAATGCTCTATCTCTCCTCACTAAGTGACAGCCATAAGTGGGCCATATTTGCCCCTAATCCCCTCTTCTCCTTTGGGCCTTTTGTTCTGTAGCCTCTCCAAAGGGCAGCCCCTCTCATGTGCTAAGGAAATGGGAGCATGTGGTTTGCTCAATTCTATATGAAGAGTCATGCTCTCTCTATAATTCTAAGTATCTTCTCAAATAATTAGCAAATCTATCCAGTTTGAGAACAGTTTACAACAATGTCTCAATCAATCAAACGTATAAACGCTTCAAAGCTGCATTGCTAGAGGTTAGCGTTCAGATATGTCTGCATCGGACCATGATCTGTTCTAAAATAATAATAAAAAAATCAAAATCTAACGTACAATTAGCGAATATAGATGTCAAGATGAGTGTTTCACACCCAGTGGAGTTGTAGCCTAATCATCTGTCGTTCCATAGAAGCAAATGACTGCACACAAATTTCTAGTTTGTTCTCATCCGTCTCTATCTGTCTCTGTATTCTCATCTTTGTAAATCAGCAATTCCTTTCTATCAATAAAGTTTATGTCTGGGTGTTTTCTTTAAAAAAAGATTAGGGAATATAGATTCTATCAAAATATTATGCATTGAGCTAGATGTTCTTAACCATACATGGAGACTTTGACATGTCCAAGATGTTTTTTTTTTTTTCCTATCTTCATGTTAAATGGTTCGGTACACTATGTTTGCATGCGGAATGTTCTGCTAGGGTTCGTACTCTCTATTTGTTTTGTTTTTCAATTATAGGAGCTATTCACCCGTGTATATGAAAGCCAGAGGGGGCAATCAATCTACCCTTTGAACTTACTGAATCTTCATCTCCAAAGAGGCAACCAAACATTTATAGTTTTCTGAGTCAGGTGAGGATGTTTCCAAGGGATACAGTTAGCTAGAGAACAAACACTTGTGTTATAGCCTTACAGGAGATGATGATGATGAGGCAATGATTCTTTAGGACTAAATGATGGAGAGGCAGACAACCGTCTGATACCTCCATATGAGGATTCTGTGCTTGACTAGGAATAACCTCATTAGCCCTTGTCCCCCTGTAGCCAGTACAAGCCTTGTGATGTCGGTCTCCATAAAAGGCCCACAGCCCATAATGTCACAGGAGGAGACAAAGGGCCAACACATGGGTCTCCACCCAAACCTTTCATCGCGCTATTCACCCTTGACCACCCATGTGGAGAATATTACATCCTTGCCATCAACCCGGGAGTTGTGGGCCTTTGTTTGTTTTCCAGGCCCGTTTATGCGACATCGCTTCATGATAGAAGTATACGCATGTTTACTAACAAAAAGGAACTTTGCTTAAACAACACGACGTCAACGATAGAGTCATTACCCTAAATTGTTGTGTTTGACTGTATGAATTCTATTGTTTCGTTTGGCTCTATTAAGTGTTATCTCCTTCATTAAGATAATTGTTATAGTATTGTTATTAATTGCTTCTAACCAAGTTCACCAAGTCTACCTTTTTTTCGTTCTTGCTTCCAAACTATAATTTCTAACTCCTTCCAAGTTCCAACTGGCGTTTTTAGCCGTCTCCGTTGTATATAGCTAAATCATCTCGATCGATCTTTCTCAATTTAGCCTCAATAAGAGCAACCTTTAATTTCTTATTTCTTGTCATGTATCTCGTAGCACATACCAACACATTCACCATAGCGTATTAATGTTCATAAAGATCGGTTTCATGCTGGTTATTGACCACATAGCGTCACTCTCCTTATACTGCCTTGAGACGTAAGGTGAAAGAGACAAACATTAAACGCACAAAATTGGCATAAGTTCAAGTGCATGTTCCTCGTCAGCCGTTATCATCTCATGTTAAACACGTGGCCAGTCCGACGACACGCCGGCAGTGTTCCTCGTCAGCCGTTATCATCTCATGTTAAACACGTGGCCAGTCCGACGACACGCCGGCAGTCGGTCACCCCTTTGATATCGTGTCCGTAGTTGGACTAGTTTGCTCGTAGGAGGCCCATTGGGCCCATGACGGTTTGGCTAGAACCATAGCGAGGGGCATTATTGTCATAGGCTTTCTCTATATAGAGGAGAGGAGAGGAAAGGCCCCTACCAATGTTCTGGAGTACCAAAAAGGGTCCACACTTTCAAACCTTAGCTCAATCTCTTCACTTGAGCTCTTTTTCTCACTCAAAATGCCCAAGCTTCAGAGATACAGAGGGGTGAGGCAAAGGCACTGGGGCTCTTGGGTCTCAGAAATCCGCCACCCTTTACTGTAATTAATCTTCTCTACCCTTCAAAAAGAAAAACGACAACGTATGCATTTTATTTGCAATAATTAATGAGTTAAACATATTCATTTCTCATATATTGCAGGAAGACGAGAATTTGGCTGGGGACATTTGAGAGTGCAGAGGCAGCGGCCAGAGCCTACGACGAAGCAGCTCGCCTGATGTGCGGTCCAAATGCAAAGGCCAACTTCCCGGTTGATCCTGACCGTCCAACTCCCCCGCCTCAGTCCCTATCACCGACCCTCATGGCGAAGCTTGAGAAGTGTTGTGTCGCTTCAAGGGAGGAAACGAAGAGAGCAAAGGTGACGGCGGTGAAGGAAGAGGAGTATCATATGCAGGGTGATGATGAAGAGTGCATTGAGGAGATGATCGAAGAGCTTATATACTATGGCTCTATAGAGATTAATTCGACTTCTTCGTCTGGTTCTTCTTCGTCCTCGGGTTCTTCTTCTATGGGATGGTACGGAAATGAGTGAGGGTGGAGGTGTAGTAGTGTATATAGGAGATGTTTGTTAGCAATCCGACCGTCTGTGATGTCGAGTTTACGGTCACGGACGTGGTCAGAGGTGATCATATCAGCATTTGAAACACCCCCCCCCCCCCCCCCTTCTTATTGAGTTAGAAGTGTTTCTTTTTGAAGTTTTTATTGTTCTTTTCATTATGCTTGTTCAAGTGGTTTATTTCTTGTTTGCAGTGGTTTGCTTCCGACCATATACCACCTGTAGATTCTTATTCAAGTGTCGACAAGAAAATTAGGTTCTCCGCTGTGTCATGTAGAGAAAAAGATGCGTTTTCACAAATCCAAATTTTCCTAATTATAGAAATTTTCTCACAACTATTGGGAAATAATTGCAAACCCACGTGGAAGAAAATGAAAACTAAGCATGAAAAAAGTCTTCTGGGCTGATACTCACAATCAAAAGCACACAATTCAGTCAAAACTAAAATTTCTACTCAGTGATTTATAACAAACCCGGCAAAAATGTTGAACACGATGGCAAAAACAGTAACTGACCTTAACTGCAGTTACACTCAGTCGCCAAAGTGCGGGGAATAACAAATCTTCAAGCAGGCTCTACACAACAAACCAGAAACGAGGCTTCAGAATCTAATTTTTGCAGAGGACATCCAACCAAAACAATGATTCAGTGTATATTCAGTTGAAATGCATTACAATGTAATAAGGACAAGAACGTTGGCATACATCTATGTGGAAACTACCAGTTAGAACTACTGCACTGTAGTCTACAACAAATCTGCAGGTATAAGTTACATGCTCCAAAGATAACATATTACAGTAACCGGTAGAATCGTATTAACACCACCTAAATCTCAATCACTATCTGCTCTAGCTAACACAAAACTAAAGAAATTGTTTTACAAAACACATGAAATCTTCAATCGACAGAAACTAAACCTAACAATACGCAGATTTTTCCATATCACACAACTAGTATACAATTATTGCTGGTTAAAGAAACTATTTCCAGCCACTTCAAGTCCTTCTTCCCCTCCGAGACTTAACAGCCACCTTCTTTCCACGACGAGTTGTGGTGGTAGTCGCCTGGGGCTCAGTCAGCATCCTCTCAATTGATTTCATCCTTGTGCCATTCTGTGGTATGATTTTGTCGGACCCTGAGCTTACAGTTTCATGATTTTGGTTTGCATTTGCTTCTGCGGATGAACTGAAGAATAAAGTTTTTAACTGTCAGATCACCTCAAGGTTTTACAGTGATGAAAAGAATGGAAGACAGTAATGGTTACCCATTGGCAGAAAATTCATTGGCTGATCCATTTTCTTTCTTAAGTGCATGAGAGTTACCATCTTGTGGCTTATGATCTGAAAAGAATGGATTACTCGGAAAGTTAGTAAAGTTGTGTAAAACTGGAGGAGTTTGATTCAGATGAATACAGGGAAGGGTTCTCATTATATCTAGCATATGAAGCATCTAGCACAATTGCAATAAGATAGTGTCTTAAGTTGTTCAGCTCCTCAAAGCCTGAGAATACTATCGTTAGATCATTAAATGTTTTGATAAATGTGCATTTTACATCTAAAAAGTAAATTATGTTTGTTGCGGCGAGTGTATAACAGAATGGTTGTTAGCCAAAGCCACCCAAAGCTGAAGCTAATAGAGAAATTAATGCATGCAGAAAAGAATTCCACCGTGTTCCACAACCATTTCGACAGCAAGATATCAGCTAAAGATCTTATCTTGTTAGTACCAAGAAATCTCTCCCTGCTAGATCATATACTTTCATCACAAAATTAACATAGCCAACCAGACCCGCCCCCAGTAGATAAGGACGATTTACATGAACATTGAGGGTACACAATATTCATTTGTGTCTCTCAATTCCCTCCTTTGGGATCATGATAAAAGATGCAACGCCCTCGTATTCATGGAAAGACTCATGCATCCGCTTGCTTCTTAAAACTGGCAGTAAGTCTTGCTAAGCATAAACTAAAGATTCATGATACTTGTAAGTCGACACTTAACAGAAAAAAAAAGTTAAGGTAAGAGCAACGAGCATGTTGAATATAGAACAATAACATACCAGAAATAGAATTTGTTTCTGCAATGCTAGAAACATTAGGTTGTGAGGAACTTTCAGAAAGTTCCTTCCCTTCAGCACCAGTACTTGTCTGTACAGTGGAATTAGGAACGTCATTGAGGTTGACAGCATCATCAGCATCACTGAGAGTCAAGAAAAAAGAAAAATATATGAAAACACAAACAGTACATTGTGTGAACTGAGCTGCTTGCATATATAATGACCCAATCATACTTAAACAGAAGGAAAGCAATCGATATTTCATCTTGTATAGCAGAGCTGCAACTAAAGCTATTACTAGGCTTTCAATTTTAATGGCACAAATTTATAAGTTTAGTTGGGATTGGCAATTCAGAACTGCAGAAAGTTCACCAATTTGCCCTGTTGTAAAAATAGATAGTAAAACTAGAAAAAATGAACATAAGACAAACCTACACCATCAATATAGACTGTAGTCATGGCACTTAAAATTGTGAATTATCCATCTTGAAAATTCTAGCGCACGCCTCCAATCAAGATGTATGAAGATCCGAAAAACAACCCTAGAGGCCAATTCACAATTGGGTGATACTATATGCTAATAAATAAAAGGAGATGGTTAAAGTTGCAACAACCATAAAGGGATACAAGTAGAGATCCATAATAAGCCTTAAACATTATTGTCGTTATGTACATATAAACCTTAAACGTTACGTAACATTTCCAAATAAGTCAGATAGGTCGTAACCTATGCTATTACAAAATAGTCTACACTATTTCAATATACCATGGATTATTTCAAAATGGATGCTACTTCGGTATAACTTATAGCAGAGGACTTAAAAAAGTATTTTATTTGTTTGCATTGTTTAAGACGTTATGTGGTTTAAGTATTACTTTTGGATTGTTTGTTTGCAAGCCTTGGCTTCTTTTGTCATCGTTATTGATATTCGGTGACATCATTAAGCTAGTGATCGTGAACTTATGACTTGTGAAGAATTAAACATCTCTGTGATTGTGAACTACTGACTTGTCAAGGATAAGATTAACTTGAAACTTTGAGCTATCAGCCTATCAAGAGTTTGAACATTATGTTTATGATTATTTTCAACATTGCCATAAACCTTGAGCCAACATTGTGAAGCGTCATTAGTTATGACCTGCCCCATACAATGAACTGTTTATTACCCTTCAACAATTTGACTAAATATATAACGTGCATAGTTATATGTTAAGCATATCAAATTATTAAAAAATTACGTATCTTTATTATGATTAAGTTTTAAGCATTTATACTTCATGGCAACTGACATAATTAATTTGAGGGCACAGCCACAAACAAAACAGCAATAAGTAGATCCAACTACAAGCAATAAGTACTTTCTTTCTGTACAATCTATGCCCTCACTATTATCCAATGAACAGTCCACATGAAAAAAGTTGGGAGGAATGAACGTGTATAGCACTTCGCCATCTGTGGTTGGGTCTTGTTTGTGTATTTGTGACTGTGTATATTTCTGTGTGCACGTGTGTTTATTTTTTTCTATTATTTTGTTTGGAAGGTACGCTTAAAAGTTAATATATTGTCAACACTTAAATGAATTTATACTCAAGTATATAGCATCTAGCGACAAGTAGCACTAGATCAAATCTATATTCATTGAAGTACTTAAAAGTATGTTTGGCAACTTTGAACTATAATCCACTTGGCTTATAATCCATAAACAGATTATAAGCCAAGTGGATTATAAGCCAAAGTGTTTGGTAAATTTAGTGGATTATTTAATCCATGTTGAATATTAGTGTTTGGCAAATGGGTGGCTTATAAAACATTATAGTTGTTAAAATGACCAAAAAACATTAATGGGGTTGGAGAGAGATAAATTGGGCTTGAAATTTCTAAAATGATGAAGGGTATATTGGTCTTTTACACGGCCAAACCTTGTGGCTTATAAGCCACCAAAAATTAAGTTGGAGTAATACAGCTTATTTTTCAATGGTTTATAAGGCAAATGACCAAACATGTCAAGCTACTTTGACCACTTGCCAAACATGCTCTTAGATTGAAACAATGAATAAGAAAGAAGATACTTGAATGGAGATTGGTTCTAGTTGCAACTACAAATTATAATATTGGGTTGATTTCACAACCCCCCCCCCCAACCACCACAAAAAAAAACTTTGGAAGGTGTTGCACATAACCACCCTGAACTTTGTTTATCTCACATAACTCCCCTGAATTATAGTGTCTCACAAAATCCCCCTAAACTTCAGTTTATCACACCTAACCCATCTACCTGTAATTTTCAAATAACTTAAATGTCTTTTGAGTGAAAAAAATTCAAAACTATACCACAAATTGCAAAGAAAATAGAAAAGGAAAAAGATCATTAATCATCTAACCATAACCTCTCTTAAATAGCGATTAGGCGGATATTACAAAAATGGGTACGAGATAAAATCATATCTAATCACATCTCACCAAATCTCATAATATCTGCTAATTCTAAATACTAATAATATCTAACACTCCCCCTCAAGCTGGAGCATAAATACTATATATGTTCAGTTTGTTACAAATGAAAACAAAACAGCTAGTTGCAAGAGTTTCATAATGTCATATTTCTCCGAAATATTTGAAGACGTCCACAATTAGAAAATTATAGTCATAGCTAGTAGGACCCTAGGCAAATTAGCCAATAAAAGAAACTCTAGGCGGGTCAGCCAAAAATAATTCGAGACAGGTCAGCCAGTAAAAACGCTAGATGGGTACGTCAGTAGAAACCCTAGACGGGTCAGCCGGTAGAAACCCTAAACTTATAAGACAATAGAAACCATAGGCGGATAAGCCAATAGAAAAAATATTAACAGGTCAGCCAGAAGAAACCCTAAGCGGGTCAGCCAGTAGAAACCCTATATGGATCAGGCAGTAGAAACAACGTCGAAAGAGAAGTGATGATGTCGCATATAACTACCAAAGATGTAGAAAAGTGAATTGTAACTCCGAAACTGTTCATCGCATAAACAATGACCTTGATACTATTCATCACGTGAATAGTAGATGCCAAGATGTTTTTTTATTTAGGTTATTTTGTGGAGGGTGTTTGATAAGATCTAGAAAATAATGATGTTGAAGTAGTTGTTAAAGCCGTCGTTGCCATCAAAGCCGCCGAGGAGAGCATGAAGGCCATGCAAAACCCCCTCGATGGCCTTGAGATCTAAAAAGCTGAAAGAAATTCCTGCAAGATCAAGTAGGCTCTGATAGTACGTAGAGAAAATAGAATAGGCAAAAGATCATTATTCACCTAACTCTAACCTCTTTTAAATAGAAATTAGGAGGATATTACAAAATAAACATAAGATAAAATCATATCTACTCACATCTCACCATATCTCATAATATCTTATAATATCTGCTAGATCTAAATACTAATAAGATCTAACACCTATCTTTTACAGGCAACATACTCCTTTCCCTAAAGTTTAAGTTTTTTGTATCAAGAAAATTTTAGTCATTTCCAAATTACAGGCAAAGGGTTAGGTGAGATAATGTAATGTTCGCCCTGAGAGGGTGAGACACTCCATAGTCAGGGGGTTATATGAGATAAACAAAGTTCAGGGGGTTATTTGTAATACCCCACAAAGTTAGGGGGGGTTTATGAAATTAACCCTATAATGTGCAACTTAAATTATAAAAACTGTAAAGGCGCCTAAGGTGTCTTGTCATGATGAGACCTTGTGACATATGTTGTGGAACCATTCAAAATAAAGGAAATGACAGGTCACAGGATGCTAGAGGTGCTCTTAGAATCACAAGTTTGTTAATCAGAACCTCAGGTCCCTGAGTGATCCTTTAGATGTGGATGAGTTGGAGCATTCTGCTTCCTTATAGCAAATGATCCATGTGAAAAGGTTTAGATGTGGATGAGTTGGAGCATTCTGCTTCCTTATAGCAAATGATCCATGTGAAAAGGTAGAAGTAGAATACTTGTTGAATCAAATCTAAGTAGGTGTGCTTCAACATTAGGACATAGAGACTAACATTGTGTCTTGACTTTTTACTAATGATCCATGTGGAAAGGTAGAACTAGAATACTTGTTCAATCGGATCTATGTTACCCGGGTACTTATATCATGATGCCATACCCGTACCCGACACATTCTCATACCCAAACTTCATGGACACTCCTTGAATATATGCAGAACTTCGTGGACACCTCCCGAATATATGCCTGCATTTGTATTTGTTACGACATGTACTCAATTATATGATATAAGTTTTAATTTATAACACTTGTCAAATACTTTTTGGATGTATAGCCTACACTTCACATCTATCTTTTGAAAGTAGTCAGATATGGGTTGGGTTCATTTCAGCCCACACCCAACCGCAAAACTATAAATTTGAAGGGTTGTTTGGGTGTCGTTCAAAAATGAGTAGTTTCCAATTTATAATAATCAATATACTTTTAAAAAAAACCTTAAAAATGTGACAGAAATTTTAATTCTAAATCACACATAAAGTGAAAGACAATAATAGTCTCATGTAAATTATTAAGTTCAATATAATATATATAGCCGTTTCCCCATACCCTACATTTCACAATTTTGCCGTGTCTTGTACCCATGCCTGCAACCGTACCGGTACCTGTTTCCATGCAATGTAGGTAATGATAGGTACAATCTAATGGCCAAAAAAAGTTATTGACCCTTCTGAAGGGTGAGGTTCCTATATAGTACCAACTTTCCATGGACGTTGTTCCTTTCAATAAGACTGTAAGCAAGATAGCTATATTTTTCACTATTCTTTGGTGTTTTAGGGACTTTCTGGCAATAGAAGAGCATTTAACTTCCCCGTTTTAGGCAGGTAATGAATGTTTTCAAATATTTTGTAACAGCTGATTAGCTCTAAAGTAAAAGAGCATGCGAACAATTTTTTCCCATAGACAAATGGATAATGGATAACCCCCTTCCAAAGCTAGGAAGCCTTCCCACCAATCCTTGAACTCTGAAAATTTAGAATCATAAAGAGACTGATACGACTGGTGTGCAATTAAATTATAATCACAACCTAGATAAGAAGCTTTATGCAGCCTTTACTTAAGCAACTAATCAAGCCAGAACTAATAATTCTATGGAAGATTTCACAGACTAGACAATCAAAATAAAAGATGCTGGAAAAATAAGATAAATGGACAAAAGAATGATAGTAGATTTAGTTTGTGGTATCATAATGTACAGAGTGTATTGTTCAAGAAGCTGACATAAAATGACTGCTCTAGTAAAAATAACTTACCATGGCTTGTTTTCTGCCTGTGCTAATTTTATTTCAGACGAGTGATTTCCTGAAGTGAAAGTAGAAAGAAATCAGAAGACAAAAGTATGTGGCACAATGAAAAACTAGAGTACCACAAGAAAACATAAACAGACACAGTCACGAAGATTTACCTTCATGTTCCGCTAGTAATGAAGCTGAAGCATGACTATCGTGACGGACAGGAATATTATTCACTTCTTCCACGACCTTTGAATGCTGTTTCACATCCTTCCACATATTAGATAGACAATTTTTTGTAAGTTATACTATTTCAGTCCTACTGTTTTAGAGGTAGAACCCCACAAAAAAATTTAATATTAAACATTGTAAAGACACCTGAAATTTCACAAACTGAGATACAAAATTTAGTGCTAAGTGGCACAGTTTGCTTACCTGATTTTCATCTAAATGTTGAATTGGTTCAGGAGGAAGAGTATGATGGTTTGGATGTACTCCGCCAATATTATGTTCTTGCTCCGAGACAATGTTCAACGTGTCACCATTGGTTGTTTCGAATGGATGGTTTGTACCAGTATCTTTTTCATCAGCCAATCTAAAAGCTCCATCTGCATAAGGCTCTCCACAATATAACTACGCAAGAAGTTTGAAGTACGTTCCAAAGGTAAACACTTAAAGTTTAAGAAGGGTGAACTCCCTGACCTTTGTTATCAGGCGATCTTTCATGCTCGGCCACTCTTGCAGGTGATTCAGCTTGCTTGGACAGGCCACATTCTAGCTTATCATCTATTGGCTTTAGACGGACGCGACGAGCTTCATCAAGAGTGTCCCAAGAATCAATAAAAAGGCGGCCCCTTTTTGAACCCTGCACCTCATTCAGCAAGATAAAATCATAGGTAGCACATCAGCATCTTACCAATCTTGAAGCATGCATATCCTGTAATTGCTGCAAACCTATAAAGCATTGGCAAGGATTTGGGATACAAATACAACAAAATGCGGACATGGAGAAGCATAAAACTTTGGAAAACTAGGACATAGGTACAGCACAGACACAGAACAAGTTATAAACTTTGGAAAACTAGGTACAGCACAGATACAGAACAAGCTATATACATAAATAAATTTTTATGTATAAATATGCAAAACAAACCTAGATACACAGATACCTACAAATGTACTCCACAATACAGGTACACAGATTTAAGATATGTACCATGTAGATGCAGCAATAAAAAATTACCATGTGTGTAACTTAATGTTCATTATCGCGCATATCTTTCAATAATTTTAGTTCCTGAAATTAATAGTTATGTGAACAAGCATCGATCTCGCCTCAAACCGGCTTGGAGATAGATTAATATTTATGTGAAACAAGCATATGAAATCTTGATAATTACTTATTCCTCATCTAATCTTATTAATAATTGTGTTTTTGAAACAAGTATGTATATGATTCAGTACTCAGGAAATCAGTGATTCATGTTATATTATTTATCATGTTATTCAGTCAAATTAGGTATGATGTATAGTTGAATGAGAGAATTTACTAATCTATTTTACTGAGTATTGGGTTACTGAAACATACAAAAGGTGTATCATTATAACATTAACCAGGGAGCTTGCATCACTTTGCATGCTTGTTTCCATTTTGAGAGGGTGCTTCATTATAAATTTCATGCAAAATATTTGATAACTACTCATCCATCATCTCCTTTCATATTTGTCCGTCCTCGACAGTTTGTTTTCCTGCATCATTCTTATCAAGTTTACTCAACTTTAGCTGTTACAGGAATAAATAATGCACATTATTTTGCTTGTCATACTATTCAAATTCACCAGCCAAATTCGGTCTAATGTTTCAGTTACTTTGGTAAAACTCCTGGGTTAAATAGAGTGTCTAATCAAGACAGCTGTCATTGTCTACATCTTAAATGATAATAATGGCAGACTTGGGTTTGATATAATATTTATTTTAGAACTATTCCAGATTTTATTATTAGCCATAACTCCATACCGTAAAAATGTCTGCACAAAAAACAAATAAAAATAACTTTCTCCACAGCATAGATTGCTAGTAGTACCTTAGCTAAATTCAAAGAATAGTCGGAAGTTATATAGGAAGCTTCATCCTGGTAACGGCGTATTCCATATGGCGGGGGAGTCCTAAACCCAATTCCACTGAAAGCTGGAGATCTCCATGGAGGCAGAGATCTCATGTATGATTTTGCCATATCCACAGGTGAACCTGCTTCGCTTTCAATATCCTGCAGATTTAGGCAACTTTTAATCAACATATGATAGAAATTCATTTAACTCTTTGGCATGATAGATACCCAGTCTAAGTTGCAGAGGTACAGGTATGGGTAGGGAACATGGAAAATTTGTAAAAGGTAGGGTACAGGGACCCTGCTAAACCTCATGGGACATAATCATGGTTCTCAGCTATATTTGTAAACGACCATCTTAAATCATAGCTCTTAATGCTGAAACAAACTCGGCCAGTCGACCCTTAACGAACAAGTTACAAAAATGGATGTGAAGTGTAGGATACACACACACAAAAAAAGTAGTGTATGACGAGTGTTTTAAATTAAACATGCATTATATAATTCAATACGTGCCTGAACAAATATATGCATATATTTAAGGAGTATCTAAGAAGTGTCAGGTACGGGTATGGCTCCATATTAGAAGTACCCAGGTAACGTAGTACCCAGTTAAGTGATTACACACCAATTACTATGGAAACTGCCACTTAGCAACTTGCCCCCAATTCTTGAATGTGGTATCTATACCAATTATGTGTGTGCACAATATTATGTGTATACGTTTTGCATGAACAAACATGCTGGGCTTTATATTCTTCGCTTGGTTTTTTCTATTTAGCGAGTTAAATGGATATCTATCATGCCACATGAAATATAACACATATCCTCCTACAAAACAAAATGGAGAAGCAGGTTTCATAGGGTTTCAAAATCCTGCATATTCAGACAATTTTCAAACCCACCTCAGAGTCGCTTAACTACACAACATTGTATCAAAACCATATGAACAAATCCCCCTCACAAACAAAATGCCTAAACTGTTAATTCATTGGTTTTGTCCAATCTAATCAAGCAGAAGGTAATCTAGTGGATGGTGGAAAAAAAATTTATGTGAACAAATACTGGGGGAGACAAAGTTACATTGGCAGACATGGAAAAAAACAAAATTAACAAATTATAAAGGTGACTCGAAGGAAAAAAGAAAAACTTGTAAGAAAGGTAACTGAAAGTTCAAAACATATAAAGCATAATTCCCTATTCAGGGTAGAAACTATGATACATGATATCCCAAGAGAAATAACTTACTACAAATAATAAAGGTACATGTTTTCTAATCTTCCTTCATTTAAGAACATTATTGAAATAAGTAGTAAGACAGGCCTAAAATTATAATAATAAAAATTTGTCATTCACATGAACTGTTGACAAAAGCTTCAACTTCTTATTTCACAGTGACGCGGCAAAGATCGGTCTATCTACAGTGACTAGAACTAATTTTAAACATTTCCAATACTCAAAAGAATTGGTGAAGACAAAATAAGGGGAAAAAGGAGAAAGAGAATTTAGAAAATTGTCTTTGCTGGGTTTTCTGGTATGTAAATGCATCAAGGAATTTGATACTGCAATTTATGTCTACAAAAATAACATACAAGTGTCAAGAACTTCTATATGCAAGTCTAAAGCAGAAATGAAGAGAAGTTAAGGAAGTAGCACTAACATATTGTCGCATATCAGTATTCAAAGTGCAAGGTCCGCATTCAGAATCATATTTTGGTTTTGATGCTAACTTTTTCTCCTCTAGCCACTTTTTTGCTTCTGCAACAGCTTGATTGCATAAATCAGGTGTACATGCTTCAAAGATAGATTGCCCAGGAGAAAAATGATTTGTTTTACTTGAAGTATAAGAGATTCTTTCTGGCAGAGTCCTTGCACTATATAGTAAAGCTCCAGATATAGTGTCATTGCCAGTAGTCCTGCTTCGGAGCTTCTCCCTTCCATCCCCACAAACTTCCGGAGATGGGAAGTCGACAACTCGAGACTGAATTAGCTTTGTTAGTTTGTCACATTCATCCCTGCTAGCAAATATTAGGACGAAAAAGAAATTCAAATACATCGACAAATAACTAAGTAGTCAACTAATGATCTATGAATGTAACAGCATGATTCATGATAAATGAAAAATTAATTTTATTCTTTTTTTATATGATCCTTATCCACCTTTACAACCTAGCATCCGCCACACATGAAAATATTAGCTAACGCAAGAAATTAAGTTAACAATGCAACTCATATCTCAGCATTAATTTATTTGAGATTGCAAAAGAGGATCCTAAATCAAAACTTTCTATATGCACAGGCATTCACACACACACAACGCACAACACAACAAAAAACACGCGCACCGCCACCTACACGTGATCCCCCACCTGATACACAAGCGCACGCATACACACGCACACACGCAGAGAGACATAACCGAGACTTTTTTCAGAAATTCAAAATCATAGTCGAGACTTCTTTTGGAAATTCAAAGTCATAACTGAGACTTCTTTCTGAAAATCAAAGATAACACCATACATTTTAAGGCGCTGATGATGAACCAGAACATCCCATTGAATAAGTACAATTAAAATAAAAATGAGTCTTCAAACTGAACAGCTCACAAACTAAACCTTTATGAAATTTGCACAAAATTAGAATGAAATACAAAAAGAAACAAACAATTCACAGCTACCTCGAAAAACTCTCTTGCATAAGCAGCTGCTCAATTGCAAGCTTTGTTTCATTTTTGGGGACTATAGCCAGAAGCCTGTCCATACACTTGCTGACTAATTCTGTTCCTCCCTGATGACGAATAAAAGAAATGTCCATCAACATTTTATAATTAATACAGATACCAGTGGTCTTCTACATAATCAGGCCAAAAGCAGGACAGCTTAAATGACTCATTTATATAGAGTCATATACTATCTCAGAAGGTGCAAAAAGCGTTCATATATCCGTCACTTGTAACATATATAAAACTGTCCCATAATTATATAAACCCTCTAAAATCAATGTGGCACTTTCAACATCATGATAATATGAAACAAGGCTAATGATGTGAACAAACTAAATTGTCGACAATATTACAAGGAAAAGAAAATTAACTACCTGATTTAGTGATTGAAGATCTTCCACATCTTCATCTGTCCATTCAAAGAAAGAAGAGCACTGGTCATACAATAGAAAAGCAGTTTAATAGCCAAAGAAACTACTTAATTTAACTAATTGCAGCTACACATACAAAAGGAAACAAAAAGTGTCACACATTGCTCAGGCACGAAATTTCACACGAACAAACCTAACCCAAAACAACAATTCCAGTTTGCTCCAAATACCCCCAATCATGTAGAGTAAGAAATTGGAAAGTCACAGATTAGACATCATCAAGCCAGTAAACCCGGTTGTAATAATACAAGCAAAAATATAAATTGGATGCAAAGCTTTTCTACAACAGGTAACAAATTGTCCTTCTACAAAACAAGAGCAAGTGAAAAAAAGAAGTAGTAGCCAATAAGAATACCCATTCCTAGACATAGTACGCAAATTATGGATGGACGGATGAAAGAGCTGTATATATAGCTTAAGCTCAAAGACGTAGCACCTAACTCAGCAAATGTCATACATGAGATCCTAACAAAATCAAAGAACAGAGTGCTCCTTAAATGAAGTGCAAACAAAATGATTAGTTGCATTGCCGAAAAATAAGGCAACATCAAAACAAAAATGTGGCTCGAAAATAACTTGGGCAACAGATGTACACTACTCAAGTAGAAAAGTAAGGAACTATTTGACCGTCACATCCTTGTACTTCAACCCTCGTTATATCATTCACCAAAATCAAGTCTAATCCATAGCGTTGCAACCACAAGTATCTGGAACATCAGAAGACACAAGAATTGGACCCTGACCGTTGGACAAGCCCCAATTGAACAGTACTGTTGTAACTCTTTTGGACCAGAAAAGAATACGGCCAACTCAACCCGAAAATAATACCAGGCTTCATTAAGGTAGACATAACAGAGTGAGTCTAGTTGGAATAACAGGGTGAAGCTAGTTGGATGGAACTTCCAAGCCAACTTAAAGTCAAATTGGGCCCATTTGTAGCACTCCAAATCTGCAGCCTGGATAACAGCCGAAGTAACCTTACATGAGCTGACCTCTATCAATATAACTGAGTTGAATGTAAGTCCTTATACAATTATACATTACCTATTTTTTCCTAGTTTCATGGACACATAAATAGGACTTAATGAGCGAAAACCTATCTTTATCAGATCACCTAAAATATTGCAGCGGTTATTATTTGTCCACTCAGACTATTATGGCCCAACACTATCACAACAAAATTATGAGTATATTGTTCAGCTTTATTTTGAACCACAAGCTCAACAATATTGCTTCCCAGCCTTTTACCCTTTCAAACATCTTTAAGAAGGTAGGCAACCATAGAAGTTCTCCAACAGGCAGGAGGTTATCAAGCCCATAAGAGGAAGAAGATGCTACAACATAACAATCTGATAAAAATACAGGCATAACCCTAACAACCTTACTTTTTCTTCGCCTAGGCGAAGGTTGGGGTAATCCAAACAAGGGTCATGTCTATCTTTGTTTAGGTAAAGCCGATGAGAGCATGGGTTGCATTCACAATCATTTGAAGCTTGAACCTAAATGCCTCAGTTGCAATCATTTTGCCAAATTATGTGTCTATGATTGGAAACCAGAAATATACTTGCAAATGTTAGGACCCATTTGGTTGGCAGAAGTTAGGACCTATTTGGTTGGCAGAAGTATTAAATGTAGGAAACAGATCAAAGAAGTAACTTCTAAAATTAAGGAGTAAGAAGTAGTGAAAGCAATATATTTTTTGCTTGTTTCGCATATTTTTTGTACTAGAAATAGAGCTCCTTACTCTTCATTCATTTTTATACAATTAGATGACAATGAAAAAAATTTATGAAGTAACCAATAAAGGAAATGCTAATTAAATAAAATTTCCTAAATTCATGCACATTTTGCCTACTTTCGAGTTACATCTAAGCCTTCAAGGATAGAAAAAATTAGGAGATAGAGATGACATGGAGGGACAATATTAGCATCTAAGAATGTACTGGAATAAGGTTTTCTAGATATGCTTAGAAATAGCCTCTGCTTCTTTTACTTTAGCTACTTCATAGTTACTTCCGTGCAAACAAACAAGCTCTTACTCTCATGTAATTTATTTTATGATGAACGACATTTACTCTTTTCTTATATGTATTTGATGCATTTGCACAACATTGATGACCAATATTAATACAACATTTAACATGTATGTAAACGGTTAAAAAGTACAAATCGTTCAATAAGATCACCCAATGGAGCACAAGCCCTATGAGAGCACTCTGGTCATTTTATGAGCCTAGTAAAGCCAAGAGAGCTTACAAAGTTGGGTAAAGGATGAAAGAAACCGAGACCCTATGCTAAACAAGCTCTAAAGTCAGCTAAAACAAGCTTTCCAAGCGCGGGCATAACCACGCAGAGTGCAACGCAATGTAGCTTAAACTCTGCGTAGGCTAAACTCAGCATAACCACTGAAGACACACTGAAGACACTCTCCAAACAGGGCAATTCTCTATAGATAAGCATCGCCCAACTCAACAGAACTCAAACTCTATGGACTGTACGAAGGACGACACGATCTGTGACTTGATTTGACCCCTATCAATGGTCTATCACACAACCGCCCTATTTAATGCGTTGACTAAGCGAACTCGGCGGTGCGATCAGATCGAGACTCACAGTCCCAAGATAGTATGCCACCAAACTCAGTGTGATAACTCAAATCACCCACACTAAGTTTGGCAGGTGCAGTGCATTAAATTAATTTCACTGAGATAATGATGACGGTGACACCTCACGGTTATGCAGAGTGTGAATGTCAGCAGGAGACGCGTTTTCATAGCGTGGGGGCCACACCCACGTTCAGCAGCAAGACACGAACGCGGTTTTCGTTTCCGCGTGAGGCTAAACGTGGGGGCTACCACGTTCATGAGCACGTGAACGCGTTTTGTTTCTCGCACTGGTTTTGCAGGCCCACCCGAATGATTTGCAGCTATATATATAGGTTTTATTCGGTTCCTAGGTTTTTTGGTGCAAGCAGGGGAAAATCATAAAGAGTGCAGCGTGAAAAAGAAAAAAAACAACAGTGAAGCCGCCGACTTTGACTGAGAAGCCGCCGACTTTGAGAAGGTTTTCAGCATCCCTTTTGTGAGAGTTGTGAGAAGGTTTTCAGCATCCCTTTTGTGAGAGTTGTGAGAGATTGATTGAAGGTTTATTTGTGAGAGCTTGTGTGATTGTAAACCCTACTTGTAAGATTGATTGAAGGTTTATTTGTGAGAGCTTGTGTGATTGTAAACCCTACTTGTATTCTCTCTCTCTAATAGTAGATCTCTCCCCTTCTTCCCCCGTGGACGTAGGTAACTTGCTGAACCACGTAAAATTCGTTTTCTTGCTGTGATTTGTAATAGCTTGTTTAGGTTCTCTCGACAAATCAGTCCTAGAACTGATGAGAAGAATAGTGTATATCCCACTTTGTTAAGATATATCACTTTCGATTTTTGTTTCCTTTGTGAAATAGGGATTTAGTTAAGATCTACTCTCTTGTTGTGCACCAGAGGTGCTGCCAAAATTTTCGCTGTGCACAAATGGTATCAGAGCTTCAGGTTCGACTTGAGGTTCGTTTTGAAGGATTCGCTGTAGGATTCTCGTTTGAAGAGTTAAATCAACAACATGAGAGAAATAAGCTGATGCGAAACGGGATAAGGGTCTATCGGAATCAACGATTTAATTCGAACAACGCACCGTTACGCCAAAATTCATGATCTTCGGTAGGAAATTAATACGAAACAATTAATGTAACAGATGGATTTTAACAAGATTTGCAACGATAATCATGAACAATTCCACTTTTAAATATTTTAATCGCAATATTAACTATCATTTCGTAAGTTCTAAAATTAATATCAAAATTAACAGTCACATGTTCAGTTACTCTCAACTCACTAATTCCATCTAAGCAGTGAATATATGATAAAAGTTTAGAGGTGATATATTCATGCAATTAACTAATAAAAATGAGATTACGAAAAATACTGAGTGAGAGAAATGAAACCTTCGTTGGGTTGAACTGTGCGGGTTGAATCTGAACTGAGAATTAGGTTCAACTAAACCTGGCTCGGTCTGAACCAAAACAAACGCAGACCTAAATGAAATGAGGTCGGTTCTGGTCAAACACTCCAGATCCAAAGTGCCTTCTCTGTTCTTCGATCTGAGGGGAGCGGAGAGACAACGTGATGACAACGCGGTTGCAGGACGACGCGACTACAGAAGGAATCGGTGATGGGAGGACACTGTAGCCGGCGGGACGAGAACGCGGCGGCGGACGACGCAGGCGACAGGCGATTTTACAACTGACGACGACTAGGACATGAGGTCGGTTCTGGTCAAACACTCCAGATCCAAAGTGCCTTCTCTGTTCTTCGATCTGAGGGGAGCGGAGAGACAACGTGATGACAACGCGGTTGCAGGACGACGCGACTACAGAAGGAATCGGTGATGGGAGGACACTGTAGCCGGCGGGACGAGAACGCGGCGGCGGACGACGCAAGCGACAGACGATTTTACAACTGACGACGACTAGGACGCGACATCAACTGGTTGTCGAAGTGGCGACGGCATCGACTTGACGAGGATGGCGGAGTGACGGGACGACGGGAGGACGTAGGCAACGACGAGATGGGACGAACAGTCGGCGGTTTGTCAGGACATTCGAGGAGCTGAGCGACGACGTTGTTGAAGAATGAGGAAGCAGTGGTGTCCGGCTATTGGCTATTGTCGGAGGTGAAGGGGAGGACTGAGTTGCTGTTCGGAGGTGAAGAAGGGGAGAAGAAGACGGCGGCTAGGGTTTCACACCTCTAGGTCGTACGATTTCACACCAAAATCAGGTAACGAAATATTTTCTTCATTTATTCATTCAATAATTCACTTTGATTACAAGAGCGTTTAAATAGAAGAGAAAAAATACATAATTAGAAAATTTCCTAAATCCCACAAATCTCTCATAATCACTTAAATCTCTCATAATCAATCACTACCAAATCTAAAC